CCAATACAGGAGAAATATGCTCTCTCTGATGTGGCTCCATTTGTGGCAATTGTTCTTTTGGGTGAAGTGTAAATATTTTTATCCAGTCGATGAACTACTCTCCAAAACCCAGTCTGTGTAGAGTGCTGAATAGAAATGTCCAGTTACCTTTATCAGATGCCTTTTCTGCCTCTGATGATACAATTTTTATATGGTGTCTAGAGGTGAGACTTACTAAGTTTTCTGGTTTTGATGAAACCGGGTCGATTGGATGGATTAAAACCTTTTCTATTCTAGTAGCTAGGGTTTGCTAATGGAGTCAAGTACTTCTGATTTAAAGCTTTCTCTTTCAGAGAAAGCTTTAAATCTGTACTGAAGAATAAAAGACTTTCTTCAGTACAGATTTAGGCTGTACTGAAGAATAAAAGTGGTAATTGATTTCCCAGCTCATTAGAACTGTGTAATATCTTTTTTTTTTTTTGCATTATATACTATATTTCCATGTAGAGTGGCACATCCCTGCACCCATTTCCCATTTTCCTTGCAAAGAATAAAGAAATGAGGGATAACTCATTACCCCTTTAGTTGGAACTATAGCCTATGCATAAGGACATGTCTAAGGAATGAACCTTACATTTTTATGGTTTACAGTATTAGGATCAGCTTTAGTTAACATAAGGAAGCTGAATGTGCACAGTGTGTAAACACTGTTGATACAGACATGTACACCTCACAAATAAGATTTTCAAAAGCCACGTCTGCCACATTCTGTCAACACTTGTCATTGTAAAAGCTGAGTACTGCCTACTTGAACTGTGAGACTGTAATGTTAATAAAACTCTTTCAACACAACATGTCAGCACCAGAAGGCGCTATAAAAAGCTAACAGTGCTAAAATTAGAATGAGTCATATGTTCCTCTCTTGTCTTGTTTGGGGTGATAAAGCTCATCGTGGTCCGCTGTGATTGTTCAGATCTCTCTTTCCAAGCAGGAGATATTAAACAGTGTGAAGCCAAGGAAGCTCCTGTTTGCTGACCCTTCTAATCATACAAGAGCATATTTTCTTTTACTGTAACTTCGTTCGCTACTTACAGTATATAAAATATAATGTGTGCTATCTGAATACTGGAAACTGGGTTTAATGATTGTTTGCTACAATAAAATCTGGACCAAAAGAAAACAATAATTTTAAACAGTTTACAGTTGAACATAAAATACGGACAGTAAAGAATTAAATGACTGTTCATTGTAGCAAGTTTATTAATATTCCACCGTGTTTATGACCGGACGGAGCTTCAAAGGATCTTAACTGTTAAAGGTCAGAAAGGCAGATGAGCCACTATTAAACACCTCAAAAGCAAACAGGAATACAGTAAAATAATTGCTTAAAGTATGATTGAAACAACATTACAAATAATGGCAATGACACGTCTGCATTTATGTTGAGATTTCTTGTGCATTTGACTTTTTGTGCCAATCTACCAGCAGTTTATGGTTATAATCACTGGGGCCCATAATATGACACTGTGCACTGTCTTTTCATAGCCACTGGGGCGCAGTGCTCACCAAGAACAAGAAGAAAACTCGGCTCCAATAGGTATTTTCAGATAAAATGGGTTTTTTTGCTATAAGTTTTATGTATTCATTGTGTTATTTTTGCACTAAGCCCACCGTCACATGACGTCAAGAGCATCGACTGGTCTGAATCACCCAATACAGATTCAACACGTTTCTGATTCCTCTGCGGACAGCGGACACAGCTGACTCTAAATGAATAGTGCCCAAACGGTAAAAGTAGTCTCAACGAGAAGAAAACCACAAATCTCTTATAGAGTTGCACATTTAAGGACTTTTAACAATTTAGCAACTTTACATTTCACAGAAAATTATTCAAAATTTTTAAGACTTTACCTAAACAAGTAATGTTTTTGTCTTTAAAATTCAGATGCTGTTGTAGATTCACTCTCTTTATGTCACACGTTTCTCATTCATTGAATACAGATTGAATACAGTATATCAGAAAGACATTTTCAGGGTGTATGTTTGTCAGATGATCTAATTAAAATAACCCTTAAAGCCCTAAATAGATAAAAGGATCAAATGTGTGACCACAAAATGAACAGTTAGAATAAAGCAGAGCAGAACTCTGTATTTTCTTCTTTCCTGCCTCATTATCTTCTGACCTTTTGGAGTGTCTTTTCCTCTAGACTGAGAACCACTCAGCCAAATTCCTTTACACAGAGTAGCTCCACGCTGACAAGCTTCAACAGCATGGTGTTGCATCAATATTGTTGTTTTGTAATTATATTTTTAAGTGGAGAATATAAGCAGTTTATTTTCTCTCCACAATCAGGTTTTTCACTTATGACTTAAACAATTTCAAGTAACTGTATCAAGCAAAGCCAAAGCTCTGCTTCAACAATGTGACTCTGACTCAAATGCTTATTAAAATGTCTGATATTGTGAGTGCAAAGTGAAATAAGTAAAGAGTTAAGCATTATTTTCTGTGCAGTTAGGTAGCTTTCTCAACAGAGTCGTGAAGCCATATTTCAGCACCGGATTGCTCCCAAAGACAATAGTTAATGAAACTTAATGTAACATGTATAAAAAGTGCTCAAAGTACACAGTTTTGCTGATCAGTGAAACCCCAAATTGTCATTAAGGGTCCCTGAATTGTAAGTTTTCAGATATCCCGTGTCTTTGCACCAGTGGTTTATTTGTGGTTGAGAAAACTTCCAATTGATTATCTGTAATATGTGTTAAATAACCCCTTTTAGAAACTTTATGAGTAAAAATAAGAAACACTGTCACAAAAATCTATCTATCTATCTATAGAATTGTGCTATTATTCTGTAGAGGTCAGATTGTGGGGCAAAAAGCTAAAATTATGAGTACAACCCAAAACGCCCATCCAGTATGGATCCTTCAGCAAGTTCACGTTCAGGCTCTGAACAATACTTAGATATGTGGTTGTGTAACTGAGCCTCATCTCCTCTGCAGAGGCGGACATTTGAAAAACAGGAAGGAAAAACGATTAGCACATAGCAGCTTTTTAAGTCCTTGAAACATCTCTTTGTTGCCTCTAGAGAAACGATCCATTTTTTTCTAGAAGAAAGCATGACTGTCATATTTCAGCACCCCCAACACAAACTTCAGCACTGGACAGCTCCCCACCACCTCCACCTCCACTAGGCCCGTCATGTGATCCTATTTATGGCATGACGTCAAATATTGACATTAATTCACTGTTTAATGAATTATAATGTTTGAATTCAAACTTCTTTTTTTATGGCATGGCTTGGGGGGGGGCTTTCATTGACGCGAAAGAGGGATGTACTCTAATGGGACTGGTGAGGTGGGTGGGGGGGATGACGCAGCTGCCCACCTCCCCCCACCACTCCCCCCTTACTCCCCCCTTACCTACGTGACAAGTGAAAAAGGCATGCTTTCGGAATTATGCATAAAAAAACCAAAGGGAGTACAGTTCGCAGGACGCAGGAAAGTTTCCTGCAGACAAATGTTTGCCGCTTTTCTTCTCCACCGCGACCGAGTCCGCTTAGAAACTCCCCAAAACTGAGCCGCAGGTGCACAGCGGGCTACGCACACTCCGACCGAGCACAAGGGCACCGAAGAAGCTCTTCGCTGAGTAACAGAGGAAGAGAGGAGGAAGGGAGAGAGAGTGTGTGTGTGTGAGAGAGAGAGACTGAGATAGAGATCCTATCTCACTCTCCCAGTTGAGATTTTCAGCGGATCGCGTCCAGCGTCTCGCAACTGGTAAGAGGAGCCACTTTTGGGGAGTCTTTTCTTCTTCTTTTCTTTCTTTTTATTCTGGGTAAAAGTGAGGCGAGTCCTGGTGTGTGGTTGTCTGTTTGCTTTGAAACTCAGGTGTGGTGTGAAAGCAGCTAAAGTGAACCTACCTGATCGTAAAACTGTGCTGTGAGTAGATTCGTTTAACTGTTGCCTGACTTGATGGCGCTTTTTTTTCTTCTTTTGCAGCAGGACAATGTCTAGTAAAGCGACTTTAGCACTATTCATCTATGGAATCATAATGCATTACAGCGTCAACAGCTCACCTGTGGGGCTTAGCTTTCCCAGTCTTAGGTATGTATGCTCTTATCCGTCTTTAAGTTTCACTTTTCAGTCGCTGATTTGTCGTTCGTGTGCAGCTCCTGGTGGGCACCGAGCACCCGCAGGGCACAGGGTAACGAGCTTATCTGCTTTAGAGTTAGTTATGTCTGGGAGTATAATAGCCGATTGGATTACTGGATAACATCATCTGACAGCCAATCCATAGGGCTGAGAAACATTCACCAGGGAGCGGCGGTAATGAAATTTAGGCTGCTGAGGCAGTGAACAACCTGACCTGCAGCCATTAATACACCGGATGTATGTGATTGAATGATTAATAGAAACGAGTTTACTGGGTTTAAACAAGTTCAAATCCCAATTAGTTAAGAGAATTTCGTGTGACTAATCCTTAAAATTCCAACATTTAAAAAAAAATGTTGTGAAAAGAGTTCCTGAAACTCCTGATGTGTGATCTTCTTTCTGAGTTAGAATTTCATGTGAATATGCGAATAATATACTAAATGAAGTGCAGATGTGAAGAGAAACTGGGAAAAACTGTCCATTCTTACTTTTATTCAGACTTGACGGCGATGTTTATGATGAGGACGGCAATTCCTTACCGTCCCTGGATTACGACAGAGATCAAATTGAGGCGAGGAGCGCTCCGTCTGTCGCTGACGACGTCTACACTTTGTACTACCCTCCGGAAAAAAGGTGACTTTCATATCGGCTACGAAA